GCACCTCATTTGTTACCCTCAGTTCTACAATCACATTGAATCCAATTTAAGATATCTAGAGATACCTTGTGTGGTGTGTAGTGGATAGAGTGAGCCTGGGTTCAAATCAGCCACGGAAACTCACTGGGGGTATGGAACTGATAAAACCACTCCTTAAATTTCTCACGTATCTTGTAAACCCAATTGACAGCACATAACAAGAGCACCATAAGAGATATATGGTGCTTGCATTCTCTAAAATTTGATTTGAACTGCCTTGAGTATAATTTCATCTTTTGATTGTGTTGGTTTTTTCGGGCTGTTTGGCCGTGTTCTGGAGGTTTTTCATCCTAACGTTTTGCCACTTTGTGGCCGTGAAAGCCTTCGGGAATACAATGTCCTCTTCGTTTAGGCTTCTGTAGTTTTCTTTTATTCAATTTGGATTTCTCTGCAACAGTGCTGCAAAACCTCGGTTCTTGTGATGCACGTGTCGTAGCGACTTTCTGCCTGGAACTGCTATTCACTTTTTCCAGGCAGAGCATCTTGGTCTAAATATAGCCTGTGGTTGACCAGCAGTGACTCAGACGCTATGAAGAGCAAGCAGATCTGGCCTGGCTTATACGTGTGCCACATGGATGTTTCCGTGAGCAACAGGAGCAGGTGGCCAACTAACTTGAAGCTTCTCTGAAAGAAAGGCTGGCCTCTTGCTTTTTCTATCCACTTGTATCATCTTTATACTAAGTGTCAATTGGACTAAAATTAGCAAGAGTTTCTTTGTCACTAGAAGGGGAAGAAGTGATGTGTATATGAGAGAGAGTATCAAGGGAGTGCTACAAGACATATACAAGGGCATCCGGGCCCATTCATCACTTAGGTGCCTGCTGCAGGACTGCATTCCTCAGCCAGCGCTCATTTGATATGCTGGATTCAAGAATATTTGCAGCAGAGCAGTAGGTCCATGGCAAACCCAGTCTGTGGTCTAGCCTTCTGCTGCATATCTTGTGACACATGTCGGAATAAGCATGTTAAACCAGTGTCCCACTGAATAAATTTTACCCACACCGAGAAACTACTAAGCTAAAGCAATATTTTTTCAAACACACCTTAATATCCACTATAATTATAACTTACAATTAACAATAAATAAAATACAGGCAGGATATATCTGTGAAGATTCTCAGTCATCCAGGTGATGTTATCTGGAAGCTATGGCAAGTGGACCTCTTATTAGGTTGAAACGTTTTGCTACTCATCCAAATAGCTTCTTCAGTCTGAGGAGTGTTGGTGGGATCTAACAAGCCTATTCAGACCAGGTGGAAGTGAAACCAGTGTGGAGGATATATCTGGGATCTTCTACCAACTCTTCTCAGACTGAACAAGCTACTTGGATGACTTGTGAAACGTTTCAACCTAATAAGAAAGAATTTATTTATTTATTTATTTATTTATTTTATTTATATCCCGCCTATCTGGTCATCTAAGGACCACTCTAGGTGGCTAGTTGTCATGACTCGGCTTCCAGATAGGCAGGATACAAATGTGCAGAGTTCATAGATGGAGATGCCATAGTATTGTCAATGCAAGTCATATACAATTTGTCAGAATAATTATAATATGATAATTATATTAATAATCACTACAGCAGACTAAAGAACACTTTACAACCTAATTGTTTTCCTGACAATAATCGTCAACCAAGCCATTTTCCAGCTCACCCTATTTTCTCATTATGGAAGTAGGGTTTTGATTCTTGGAGAATTTCCATCCTTCATGATTGAAACCTCTGCTGCTTTCTCTGTTTCTTCTTCACATCTCTTCCCTGTTGCTCCCTGGCTGGGATGGTCTCCTCTGATCTCTCTTGTTTTCTCACTTCACCCTCACCTCTTCCTTCCCTAACTGGTTTGCTGTACACTCCCCTCCAAGCTCTGCTGTGTCCTGTCTTCTTCCTGATCTCTTGTTGTTGTCTTTGGTGATGTATTTAGTAGTTTACCACACAATGACAGTGGTCATAAAAGTGTATTTGGGACTTGGGGCTAGTAGGTAATATCAGAATGGCTGTAAAAGGGAACTGGTGTGAGTCAGTGGCATCCTATACAAGTAATTATTTACCTATTAGAAATATTTAAAGTTAAAAACATTCTTTAAAAACAAAATTTAAAACTTAGTTTCCAAAAAGGCAATACTCTTCAACAACAGATTTAAAACAAGTTGAAATGTCAGCCCCAAATTAGTTTTAAAGAACAGAGGCTGTCTGGATTAATGCAATCTTGGCTGCCTTCTAGGTGCTCAACAGGGATGAAGCTAGGAGATATTTTATTTGGGAAACAGTTCAACCGTCCAGGTTGGGAAACAGTTCGTTGGTCTTCATGGACTATCAGGACAAACCCCATCTCAGTTATCTGTTTTGAAAAAGCGCCTCATGCTTTATGATTAGCTTTGTTAAATTGTATCATCTATGAGATTTGTTATTTTATTTTTCTTTTGTTTTTGTATGAGTTCTTTAAACGACTTCTTTTAGTTGTTCCTCACCTTCTCTGACACCTCAGCTAGATCTTGTTTGTATTCTTCATCATAATTTATATTGTTGCTTTCTGCTCCTCTTGAGCTTGTCCATTCAGAGTGAAGTCTTTACTGTTTGCAGTCTCATAGATATATATTTTTGGTACAGTCAGTGGGTTTATGATGCAATAGCCACCTTTTTTTTAAAAAAAGGAAAAATTAGAGATGCGGGGCAAAAGGGTCTCCATATAGGAGACAATAAAAATGTGTGTCATATTTATCGTAGAGGTGTTCTAACATAGAGGATTAGTTTTATTCAAATAGATTCTACTATATATTTAAAATATTTTATCAGCTGGATTGTACATGTTAACGCTTTTGTCACTTTGATGAATATAGTAAAAGGATACCAGGTTATGCTAAAATTGTTAGGCTTTGGTTTGACCTGTACAAATGTCACTTGTTGAGTTAGTTTTCCAAGACTACTATAGTCCTGCATCAATTTTTGTCAAACCCATACCTTTTTATTATTTAATATTTTCAAATCTAGAAGCCAATTACAGAAAGGTAGTTAGGGCTTCATGGACATCATTCTGATTATGTCTCATAAACTCCCTCAATAACACTACTATTTAAATTGGCAGATTGATAGATAGATTGAAATTGACAGATTGATTGGGAGTGTCTTCTATTTCAGCTTGAACTTGCTGCCAAAATTAATTTATAATTGGGTACACCCATCATATGTGAAGGTAAAATCTGGGCTTGGCACAGCCTAAATGTGAAGCCTTTAGCTTCCTGAAGCACAGTAGATCTGGTCAGTGGCTGCTTAGGATGCTGACCATCTGAGAATCATGCCCATACCATTTCAAAAGGGCAGTGTAATGTATTGGCTGGAATCTTGATTGATTAGACATATATTAACTAACAGGGTTACACCATCACTCAGTGGTAGAACACCTGCTTTGTGTGTAGAAGGTCACAGCTTCAGTTCCTAGCATCACCTGGCAGAGATAGAAAACAGTCCTGCTTGAAAATGTGGAGGATGATTGCTTTTAGTATAAAAAGCACTGAAATAAATGGGTTAAAGATGGGGTTCAGTATAAAACAGCTTGTTACATTCACCTTTTCCGTTATTTTGCAAGCTGCTGCTAATGGATCAGCTGATAGCACTTAATACAGTGGTGCCTCGCATTATGATTGTCCCGTTTAACGATGAAACCGCATTATGTGTCTTGTTTAACGATGAAACCACATTATGATGAACTTTTTGCGATTGCAAAACGATGTTTCCTATGGGGGAATTTTGCTTTGCGATGATCGGTTCCCTGCTTCGGGAACCGATTCTTCGCAAAACGGTGATTTTCCAACAGCTGATCGGCGGTTTCAAAATGGCCACCGGGTAAATAAAATGGCCCCCCGCTGTTTTCCGGGACGGATTCCTCGCTGCACAGGCAGCGAAAATGGCCGCGCTATGGGGGATCTTCGCTGGACGGTGAGTTTACAGCCCTTTGGAACGCATTAAACAGGTTTTAATGCGTTTCAGTGGGTTTTTTCTTTTCGCATTACGACGTTTTCGTTCTACAGCGATTTCGCTGGAACAAATTAACGTTGTAATGTGAGGCACCACTGTATATATATATTTTAGTAACTCTATGGTAGGATAATTTGTAGATCTGGGTAAAAAATGTTCTAACATCTTTTATCTGGGAGTCATGCCAGTGGAAGCCAGTGGGATTTACTTCTGATGAGGAGTCATGCATAACTTTATGCTTAATGCATGCTTCCAGGCAGAATATGTTAAGCACAAAGTTATGCATAATTTCTCATCAGAAGTAAGATCTTTTATGTTGCAATAAGACATTTGAATGATATTTAGTGAAGACGGGAGAACAGAGGACTGGATGCACAATAAAAAAAGCAGTCTTCAGATGATGGCAGTGTTGGATTTTAAGGCTGCCTACTAATTACATATAAAAGCTTTGCTAAAATCAACTTACAGTTAAGGATAGGGCGTTTGGATTTTTGAAACTACAGATGCCATAATTGCCCATTCTTGGAGTTCTACCTGGTTTACATGCACACCTTAGAGACATTTCATTGTGATTCCAGTTTAAGCCTTAGAAAAAAGGCCTAAACTGGCAAGCTGTAAGGCTTGTGTATGTCTAGCTCCACCTAGCTTCCTGTTTAGAAATAAAGTTCCCAGGTAGCGCTTGGCGAAGGGAAGGAGATGCTTTTGTGGAGCTAGGCCTTAGCTAAGCCTCAAAGCCATCCCGTTTTCTCCCTGGTGAGCCATATGTAGATGTTTGTAAGTTATGCCTAGGACTGATAGAACTTCCAGAATGGAGCATCATGGGGTTTGTAGTCCATGAAATGCCAAAAAAAAACCATACCTACTTGTGATCTTTCATCAAGGAAAGCTTTTTAAATGAAACTAAGCTGTGAGGTAAGCCAGGGTATTGAATGGGAAATTTGGCTGCTTTACCATGTTAATAGGCTATTCATATGTTGTGTCCCTGCAGATTTCTGAATCCACTGAGCATGGTGCTTGGTGCTGCCGTGGTGATCCTGGTGTTCCTGACGTTCGTGTGGGCATCTCACAACAAAGACTTCATTCACAAGTTTAAGAAGCACTACCCATTTGCGTTCGTCATAGCGATTATGCTGTTGAGCTACTTCCTGATATCTTTTTTCGGAGGGGTTATGGTGTTCATGTTTGGAATCACATTTCCTCTGTTCTGTGAGTTCTTTCTTTCATGCCAAATCCCACTTTTGAAGTGATCGCCTTTTCTTTCTTATTTTTAAACATTGGGCTTGGTGGACAAGTTCCTCGCTAACAGCAATCATACCCAGAAACCGATAGGCAGATTGGCTAATAAATATATAACTGTGGTTGCAGGGATCTTAGCCATGGCGAGGAAGCTGCCAGCTAGTCATTCCTGTACCCTTGCTCTTGCACTTAGCACTAGCTATATTGTATGACTGAGCATCCAGCCTTTCCTACCATTGTCATGGGTAAGAATTTCTTGGCTCTGAGATGATCTTGAGGCTCTAAACTGCCAAGAGAGGGATAGATGGTGATGGCACTTGGAGGCCTGAAGCCAGTTCAGTTATAAGGAAATGCTAAATGTGATGCTGCATGTGCACAAATACGAACATGCTGTCTTTTGAGATGGGTGACAGTGCCATTACATCCTCTGTAGGCAAGGGTAACTGCATGCAGGAATGCAGCCTCTGCTGCACCCTTGGCAGCTTTCTGTAGGATCTCTACTAACTCTCCACATGATTTAGACTCCTGGAAAGCTATAGTTAGCCGCCCAGAGTAGTCTATATGATTAGATGGGCGGGATATAAATGTAATAAATAAAATAAAATAGTTATAAATTGCAAGAAGAGCCTCCATAGGTGCAAGAGTCTGTTGCCACTGATAAGCATCTTCACGAATAGGGGGTGGAGCTAGCACACTTGTATACACTTCTCTTTGTAGAGCTTTCATGCTTTAACAATAACTTTATAGGCCTTTTGTAGGCCTTAGGAATCACGGCCTCTCCCAATTTGAAGAGACCGTTGTCCAGCAGGCCGAGGCAAAAAGGCGGTCCCGAAACCAGCCAAATCAGGGAGCTGGACAGGGGACAGATTGTATTTGTCTTCAACGTGGAAGGGATTGTCACTCTCGAATTGGCCTTCTCAGCCGCACTAGATGCTGTTCCAAGTCCTCCATGCAGAGCACGTTACCATAGTCTTGAGACTGAAGAGCCTTTTCTAAAAAAATGTGTTTCCTTCCACTATAAAGAATAACTTTGCTCCCAAATTTTGCCTCCTATGGATTGTTTCCGTCCAGCTATGAGACTATTAATTGCTCAGCGTTGGCATCATACTATGACCAGAAGGTTCTATGGGATTGGGTACTAGAGATGGGCACAAACCACCAGTTTGGCAGTTTGTGCTGGTTCATTTTCATCCGAAAAGATTTCTGGCACTTCATAGTCCCACCTCTTCTAATGGGTGCCCACTCAGAGGCAGTGCCTAGAGGAAGTGGGGCAGGGAAGCCAGCAGTCTGTGCCCATCTCTACTTGTTGCCTTATTTGGTATTGCTAAACATAACTCAGTTTGGCTTAACCTTCCAGGCTCCCATTGCAAATATGCTAACCGATACATTTCCATTGCTGTGGACTTGTATTAGGTCTTAATGACCTGTAACCTGTGCTTGAATCCTGTACCTCTGCAAGCTATCATTATATGACGTACCTGTCTCACTCTGTGTATTATACTCACCACTTCCATAGCATGTACATTCTTGTATCATTATGTGATAATCTTGCAATGTGAAATAGTACCCCTTAACATAAAGAAAAAAATGATGATGATTGGATTTTCCCCACCCCAAATTTCCTAATGCTTTCATTTGTTTTTGGTTCAAAACGATTCAGTTCAATTATTGGGAAAAGCAGGTTTGAAGGGACATGGAATTTTTATATTTATCGAAAGGGGCATGGGTTAAAAACTTTGAGGAACACTGAGGTGTTTGTGTATACACAGACATACATATATGCACAATATGTGTGTGTATCAGTATACAGTGGTGCCTCACATTGCAACGTTAATTCGTTCCGCAAAAATCGCTGCAGGACGAAAACGTCGCAATGCGAAATAAAAAAGCCCATAGAAACGCATTAAAACGCGATTAATGCGTTCCTATGGGCTTAAAACTCACAGTCAGCCAAGATCCTCCATAGCGTGGCCATTTCTGGTGCCTCTTAAGCGAGGAATCCATCCCTAAACACAGTGGGCGGCCATGTTTTTTTTCTGCGGCCAGTTTGAAACCGCCGATCAGCTGGCTGAAAATGGTTGCTTTGCAATGATCGGTCATCGCAAAGCGAAATTCCCCCATAGGGAACATCGCAAAGCGACCGCTTTTGCGATCGCAGAAAATGCGGCGCAAAGCAATTTCGTAGCTAAACGGTGCGATCGCTATGCGACGCACCACTGTATATTTATATATTTCTGCTCCCGGACAGCTCATGACACAGCCTTTTCGGTTTGAGAGAAAATGGACGACACCTGTTAACCTGTCTTGTCTTTTCTGCAGTGATGTTTGTTCATGCTTCCTTGAGGCTTCGAAATATAAAGAACAAACTGGAAAACACAAAGGAAAGCGTTGGTTTAAAGAAGACTCCTATGGGCGTAATCCTAGACCTTCTGGAACAACAAGAAGAAGGTTTCACAAAACTGGCCGACTACCTGGCCAAAGCAAAGGAATAGATATGCATGCTGCTCATTGTTTGTAGCTTGTTGAACTAGTAGATCCTGTCTGACATCACTTTTGAGTCTGTGAGTGTCTTGGTACACAGGCTGCAAAGCTCAGGGGTGGGGTGGGGTGGGGGTGGAATACTAAAAACTCTTCAGGGCTCCTTTGACCAGCATGGAGAGGTGATAGTTACCCTTCTGTAACATGCCAAGATATCTGATACACAAACATTTGACAGTTCATGGCGCATGCGTATTTTCAGGGGAGAAAACAGAAGGGATGCCTCCTCCAAAAATACTTGTCTGTATGTTAGTGTTTTTCCACAATATATACTTTGTGACATTGCTATAAATGCAGACAAAACCTTTCATCTTCTCCTGGAAATGATACTACGTAGATCCAAAGCTAGTATGATCTTGGCTAAAGAAGATACATTTTACTGCATACAGAGCACATTTTAGTGTACCTCGTGAGTGGTCTGTGTTTCCAAATGGAGAATTAGAGAACACCAGTTCAGTGAGATGACATGTACATTTTGTTGTGACACTTCTGGGTATCCCTCGTGTTTACAAGCTGAACAACTTTTTCTGCACAAGACCTGTAAAGCGGCATAGATAACATCTAGCAAACAGACATTCCTTTGGTAAACCTATGCAGAGTTACAATATTCAGGGGACAGGTTGCATAACAAGATTACCATGGCTTTCTGTGCATGCCACATTCAACTCTTAGAAATGCTTTAATATATATATATATTATATAATTATGTGAGTATTTAACTTTTCCAGGCTTGGAATGTGCTGTTAAATAGAATTATGGATCTTAAAGAGTCTTTGTTAGTCAATGTAGATATCGATCTATTTCAAGGAAGAATTGAACTGGAAAATAGGTTCTCAGATGTTGCTAATATCTCTGGGTTGGGGCTGCGTAGGCCATATTTTCGTATAGCACAGGCGACTAAACCGTTCCAGGCAGCCTCATATAACCTGCTTCAAGCAGCTTGAATCTTTGCCTAAAGGCCTGTTGAATATGAGATCAGTGTGAGCTAAACTGTGTGAAAAACGTATTCTAGTCAGTACTGCATATCATACACTCCTGTCTTTCCTTTGGCTCTGATACGACCGTGTGCTAAGATTTCGAAGTTGTGACGGGACAGGGAACATGTAGCTCTCCGGATACTGTTGGACTGCAGCTTCCATTGGTGCAGGTTGGCATTGCCTGTGGTCAGGGTGATTGCAGTTCAACAGCACATGGAAGGCCCCACAACGCGCCCTCTCTTTGCTCTATTCTTTCTGCAGCAAGTATTTTCAGCTGTCATCCAAGCTTTTCCTTTTTGAACTGAGAATTGTAACATCTCATTCCATATGTAAGCTGTTAAAAGAACAGTATTTTGTTGAGACTGTAGCTTCACCTACATGTTCCAAGATTAAAGAGAAGGAGACTGGTCTCGAGTTGTATATGGTTAGTGTTTATTTGTTTAAGCCTGTGGTTTCATTCTTTAGAATGTTCAAAAATCAAAATGGCAAAATAAAGTTTTAGCACCCGGATTCCACAATAATTTCTGAATCACATTTTCTTACTTCAGATTACAGAGATGACTGGTAATCATAAATGCAAACCATTGATTTATTTGAAATGTAGGAGTAGGATTAAGGATACATGATTATGAGACAAAATAAAACTCTTTTTTCACAATAGTTCCAATTAATTGAAGATTGACCGTGGCTTTTACCTAATATGCAATGAGAAATGCCTGATCTTCAAGCTGGATTTTGGAAGGGAAGAGGCACTTGAGATAATATCACCGGTATTGCTGGCTAGTGGAGCACATCAAAGAATTTCAGAAGAAGATGAGATTGTGCTTTATAGATATATCAAAGCCCTTGACTGTGTGGATCATGAAAAACTATGCATTATTTTAAAAGAGATGGATGTACCTCCACATTTGATTGTCCGGATGCATAACTTGTGGGCAAGACGCTACTGTTAGGACAGAATATTGATTGACAAAATAGTTGCCTATATAGGCAAAGGTGTCAGACAAGGGTGCATTTTTTTCTCATCTGTTCATTTTGTATATGGAACATATACAGATTCAGATGGAGAAGTGAAAGTTGGTGGAAGAAACATCAATAATTTAAGACAAGCAGATGAAACCATCTTACTAGCAGAAAGCAGCAATGACTTGAAACACGTTTTAGTGGAACTGAAAGAAGAAAGTGCCAAAGCGGGGTTGTAGTTGAACATTAAGAAGACCAAAATCATAACTACAGAAGAACTACACAATGTTAACAGTAATAACAAAGAAATTGAAATAGAGATTTTGTATACTTTAGTTCAATAATCATTCCAAAGGGAAACTGCAGCCAAGAAACTGTAAGAAGACAGATTCAGAAGAGCAGCAATGAACGAACTAGGAAAAAAGTCTTGTATTTCCAATCATTATGAGTGTGAAAGCTAAACAGTAAAGAAAGTTGAGAGGAAAAAACTGATTGGCTAGAAATGTGATGCTGGGTGAGAGCTTTGCAAATACCTAGGATGGCCAGAAAGACTTTGGGTGCTAGAGCAAATCAAGCTTGAACTATCACTTGAGACAAAGATGTTGAAACTGAGGTTAAGATTGGGCACGTCAAGAGAAGGCAAGATTCTCTGTGAAAAGATAACAATGCTGGGAAAATTTGTAGGCAGCAGAAAAGAGGACGACAGAACACAAGGTGGAGTGACTCCTTAAAGGAATCCACAGAGGGAAGAGAACTTTTGAGGTATCCAGAATATACTGTGTAATATTAATATCTTAAACTTAGCTTGGTTGGCCATTGGTATAGATAAGTATACCAACATGTACACAGTAAAGCTATCCAGTCACACAGCTGCTGCATTTGTAGTAACCTTGGGGCAACCCTATATAGAGGACGCATCAATTCATGGATCATGGTGTCGAGGCTAGTGCTGCGTAAGGAACATACTAGCCTAAAATGGTATTGGGTGTTCCTTGTGGCTCGAATGTCTTGCTCAAGGGCTTATGCGGCAATATCAGCCTTACTGTCTTTAGTCCTTCATCCCAGTGTTTCACTCTTCAAATTAATCCCTTTTAGATATGGTGGGTAGGAGTTAAGAAAAAAGATTGGGAAGGGGTTGTTAATTGCTTTGGGTGCTGTTACCGAAGCCAGAAAAGCTGGAACTGGGCAAAAACAGGGGTGCCTCGTTTTGATGTGTTGCTGTTCATAATTCGGAACTTTCCCAGTCACTGGTGAACACCTCAGGCTCCACAGCATCAATGAAAGCACTTAATCAGGAGCAATATTGTCACCGACCTGTTGTATCTCAGCAGCCTATAGTGAGCCTACATGCAGCCTGGAGAGAATCAACTATTTCTAGCTATTGGAAAATTCCTCAGAGCATTCAGAAACCTGTTGGAGTCCATATATGTGGAATATCTGTACTAGAGGTATCACCTTTGCCTTTGGTTTACTTTTTCAGATTGTGATTCCCAGAATTCAAGCTGGGGTTGTAATCTCAAATACTGTACAACACTTCCAGGCTCTGGTATCTCAAGGATACCCATAAGGCACTCTATGGGCTCGCATCAGTACTACTCGTAAGACAATAAATAGTATATTAAGGCTCCTTCAGTTCAAGTTTGGTGAAGTGGCAATGGTGGTAGTAAGCCTCACTCTGGCTATTGTATTTAGACCCTTTCCCATTGTACCCCAATTGTGTTAACACAGGATTGCACTGGTAAGCTTGAGCTTCCATTTCTAGGGCTTGCAGGAGCCTTTTCTCTCCTGCTGACAGGTCAGTTGTGTCTTAAACATAATATCCAGCAACAGGAAATCTGGCTATTTAGACCCTTTCCCATTGTACCACAATTGTGTTAACACAGGATTGCATTGGCCAGCTTGAGCTTCCATTTCTAGGGCTTGCAGACTTAGCCTGAGAGTTTCTAGGGTGGGTGTGCACATGCATGCGTAGATCCTCTCCACTTGGCCTCCAATGAACTGCTCAAGTATTGTTGAAATGTTTCCTGCTAACTGAGGGCAGGTACTGCTAAGTACGCTGTCCAAAAGGCAAGATGTGACAGCTGTAGCTAGTGTGCCCTTTTGACCTGCTAGTCATGCTTTCAGAGAGTACATGGGAAGCCTGAACTTCAAGTCCTCTTGTCTAAATTTACAAAGCAGTGTCATGTTTAGAAACTCCTGATGGTGTTGGCTGTACCTGCTGTCAACAACATTTGCAGCAGCTGTTCATAGCTGACTGCTGCCCCATGTACAGCTCCAGCTTACAACCTGTGTGATTAGGTGCAACCCCACAACCCACACTTCAGTGTGAAACCACATTCAGTTCCTATCACTAAAAGGAGTAGCGGTACTGAGGTGTCGATCTGGGACTTCACAAAGGAGGAGTGGTCCAGCATGTAGATTCTAAGCAATATCACTTGAAACAATACATTTTTTTTAAAAAAAAATTACTTAAATTTTTTAAGTAATAAATTTCAAAGTGTGTCATTTTAATAAATCAATCTCTCCTTCCCTCAATTTGCACATGTTTGTGAGGAGCAAATAAATAAAGACATTATAATGCCTGTTTCTTTCCAAACATTATCCATGTCTATACTGGCAGATGGAAGCCAAAGGTGTCAAGTAAACCTGGAAAGACTTTCGTCTTGCCTCATTAAATCATAGTTCTTGGTTTCACTGAGAAGATCTTATTGACTACGGATGCTTGCTGCGGTGCTGCTGCCACTGCTCTTGCATTACAGAATGTTCTTCCTTTGATGTCGACAGTGGCTCAGCTGAGGAGAATTTCTGGGAAGAAAGGGCTGAAGATTCTAAAAATGCTTAAGAACTCAGTTTAGGGTTGTGCAATTGGTGAAAGGGTGAAGTACTTTACACTTGAACTGGTATTATGATCAGTCACAGTTCTTTACTTGGCCTTTTCTGAAAACTCTGAAACTAAACGGCCAATATCCTATTAGAGAGTTACATTTGTATTGACTTGCCATTCAATAATTGGTTCAGTAGGTCTACTCTTAGTTGGGACTAGCAGTAGGATTCTCTTGTCATTTACTCAAAACTACCCTGCCTTAACTCTTGTCATCTTGCTATCTTCTGTTTGTTTGATATTTTAAATCATGTTTTTCACCACATATCTGAGCACAGATCAAGGTTCTTTGGAGTTTCTACCTGCCCTAGATGCTCATTGCCAACAGGAAACTGCTAAAACCATGTTATGATTATCTTTTATGGCAAAGTTGCATTGAGGATCCCCATAACTTGAAAGTAAGCATGTCCACAACTGGGCTTGGCTTGGCTCTGATGAACCCATGTGTCAGAACCCATAGTGTTGGGTAGTAACAATCTTTTAAAGAACAGTTCCTGTAGAGTAGGTGGATCAAAGGGGCACCACAGGAATATTTGTTAAATCAGGAAGCAGTCACTAAGTGATAGTGGTCTATGTGCAGGGACAATGTGTATGCCACCTTTGGCAACATAAATGGACCAGTGCGGGTCAGAAGAGACCCAACATGACTCAGATTCAAATTCCCACTAAGTGATGAGCTTCATGGGACCAATTATTATTTCTTAGGCTAAGCTACTTAGGGTCATGGAGACACATAGGAAGGCGCTTTATCTGGATTCAGCCCAGTCAACCTAGTTGAATACTGTACTATGGAATCTGCATGGCAGTGGCTGACCATGACTTCAGACATTATTCTTTTCTAGCTCTGTCTGCACATCTCTGGTGTTCTCTAATCCGAGTGCTAACCAACCCCAACTCTGCTTAGCTTCCAGCGTTAGACAAGAGCAGGGATATTCAGTCAGACATTGGGGAAGATGCCACCTGACCATACTGATCTTTCACAGATTTTATGGCAAGAACAGAATAAAGGTAGGGGAGTACCATGCACATTGCCATGAGCTCATTTGAGGAAATGTGGGACATACATATAGTAATTAAAAGCAAGCAACCAGGCAATACTGTACTTTTCTTTAAGATGCTTCTGGAGTGTTGCCAAGGAAGTGTTCTTTGTCTCAAGTAGAATGTTTAAGTTTTCTTGGCACATGGGCATCTCTCTTAGTGGCATGCAGTAGTGCTTTGGTGTTTTCTGCTGATGGCAAATCAATAAGGCATCCACATGCAGTAGTGCTGTCGCGTTCTGCTGATGGCAAATCAATAAGGCATCCTCTGGCAGGAATCCTCTTAAGCATGAGTCAGATGGCAGCGTGCCTCAGCCTTGAGACGTACTAGTATATGTGACTGTGAAGGGGGGAGGAGAGAAGGGGGTTGTATAATCGCAGCTTGAAAAATTAATGTGGCATAAATAATTTATGAATGAGAAGCCCAGACAGGAACAGGTGCAGGTGTGAGTCACAATCTGTTAATGGAGTGATTGACATCATGCCCTAAAACTGCAATGCTAAAAGCAAAAGATCTCTTAAGTGACATTTTAAAATGTACCTGTTTTCTCAAAATGTGTTTCCCATGTTTAACATGGAAGAGACTGTGAGTTTCCTTACATATATAGTAATGTTGTATTTTGTTCTTAGTCTACCTACCATGGTCAATAAATTTTGGAATTTAACATTTTGGAGACTGCTAAATAAATGGGCAATGATGGATTAGCACCCTGGCCTCTAGTGTCTAATCTCCAGTTACCTAAAGGGGGCCAGCTTGGCAGGAAAGGGGGTCGCCCTCAGCTTGTAGAGGCCTTACAGTTTAGAGTTGGCCAGTGCCTCAAGCACCTGGAATCTCTGGTGGTTTCCCATTCAAGTAGTAAACCAGCCTTATTCTATTCGCAAAGGCTTTCACGGCTGGGATCTAATGGTTGTTCTGGGTTTTTCGGGTTGTTTGGCCGTGTTCTGAAGATTGTTCTTCCTGATGTTTCGCCAGTCTCTGTGGCCAGCATCTTCAGAGGACAGCCAGAGTACA